ACAAAAAGGGATATGAGGAACAGAAGAGGAAAGATACTAGGACTCACCCGAATGTCAAACGGAGTTTTTTCTGGAAAACTTTAGACGACTCCTTCCAGAAAGTTCAGAAGCAACGATGAGTCTGCTGGCCTTAAGACTTTAAGGAAAGATGGACAGTTGGCGATGGGGGAGGAAAGAGATCTCCGGCGAAGATTCAGGAAAAGGCTCTCTTGAGGAAGTTCGGAATGGCGAAACAAGAAAATGGAAGAGGAACCCCGTTTATATAGTGGCAGTTTCATCATTGGGCGCGAAAAACGTAAAGGCGCATTTAATGCACACGACATCCTAAGCAAGGAAAAGCGGCTCGAGGCAATGATGAAGTATTTGTGGTTGTTGGGAAACCCTTCGTCTCCTTACGACGCGTGTCCTCGGTGTCAGAAGATCGAAGGCTGGGGGCAGTTGATGAGACTTTTCTGAAATACTCCATGATGAAGACACGTGTCCTCGGTATTACCAAAATACTGTTGCTAAGATCAAGCACCATCGGCTCACAAAGGTCCCTCGCTCCCGAGGTACTCGTCATATGGGATCATGGCATTCAGTACGTTTTACAACCGACACGTAGCCTCGGTCTGATATGGTACCTCGGTCGGTATACCTCCCTCGATTCCGAGATGAGCCTTTCCTCGGTGCCGAGAGGTACCCCGTCCTGGACGCCTCCTCTGCTCCAGGATAAGCTATTGACGTACAGGTCATTAGCCTAGGCTAGTCATCATGACCTCGTCTTACACAATTAGTGTCAGAACGTATAGGAATGCAGGGGCCACAGCCAATGGGGGATGGACGCGTGACATATGATGTCACATCATAGACAGAAAAACCGCATGCCATTGCTGACACACGACTTGGAAAAACAAACGATTAATTACACCATTCCCTTGACGAGACTGCATTCAATGCGGTAAGGCTCGGAAATGAAAGGCAATAAATGTTCCTAATACAGAGCATTTATTGCATCCTCCCCGAGAGGAGTTCATTGTACCGTCGGCATCCCGATGACGCAACATTGATTGCTCGGGACCCCGAGCAGTTAAGAAGAGAAGACATTCCTCATCAGAATCAGTGCGCACACTGCCTGTACTTAATGATCACCTACTGACTACACTGACAGCAATCATGAGCTTTTGAGGTATAAATACTCCTTGCAAAAGGGAAGACGGTATGCAACAAAAAACTCTTGACTACAATACACACTCAGTGTTTTCTTCTTCCTCTCTCTCTCTTAAAGACTGACTAGATCGTCGGAGGGGATACGCCGGAAAATACTCCGGCGCCCTTCTAACTTGTTCTTCTTTGTTCCAGGAACCTCTCTTCGGCCTTACTGGATCATTCTTCCGCTCCCCCAGGGTCTCCCGTTGCCATTCCAGGTTACCACCGGACATCGCAGGCTGTTCCAAGCGGCGTGGTTGGTCACTCAACTGACTCACTCGAGTTCACCAAGGGAGAGATCTGTTCTCGTTTTTATATTGTGCAGGATCGTGCACACACAGGTAGCAAGGAATGTAAGAGACACAAAACCCTTTTTGTAGTCGGTTATAAATTATAATATGGTAAGCATAACATTTCTGTTGTTCAAACCATGGTAACAGAGCATCTCATATTAGGATATAAATCGTGCCAATGCACTTCCGTACGATGTCATCTAAGATTATCTATTTTAAATTTAGACGAAACCTACTATGTTTATTGATGTGTCTCGCTTTTTTTTAATAGGTCTTACTTGAAGTCATAGGTAATCTACTTTCGAGTAAAATTGAAGAGAAGTTGTTAGAAATAGTGGGTGACTTATATTCACTAAGCTCAAAAGATAACGGATCAATGGACAGCCGTGGTATGGTACGGTACAAGTATCCTAGAGATTTTTAATTTATACATGATCTGAGTTATATTGGGATTATGCGTATCAAATCAATCGGAACTATGTTTTCTAGTTAGACTAGGATTAATTTTATTTACCAATGCTTGTAAATAGATTGCCCCGGAGTAATAGAATTTCTTTTAAAGTAAGTGTCTTGGAGGGGTTTAGATCCCCATTTTATTAAATACTCGAATTTAGAACTCAGCATTTGTCACAAGTACTCTCCAAATTAACATTTGGCTAAAAGATACACACTCATTTCAAAAATTATTAAAGAGTTCCAAATGCTACTAAACAACACCATTACACTGAGTCCAAGCTTGGTAGGGGGGGCGGTCCCTAACCCCTGTGACCTGTCTTGGTCATTGCTGTCCCTCACCAATAGAAAAAAGTGTAGCCGGCCAAGGCGGCAGTTTTATCTGTTTATTTCATCTCACTTTCCCTCCCGGAAATCCTTCAAACTGATACTGTTCCCTCTCTTCATTAATCTCTCTCCCTCTTTCTTTCAGCCCCACTTCACATTTCAATCTCAATACAATGGTCTTTCTCTCCAAGTTCATCTGTGTTTACACACTAATTCTCCTCATCAAACCCATTTTTCCTCAGCAATTTTATGACAATTCTAACTGCACATCAGAACTACAATTCCCAGGTTCCAACTACCTTTGCAACACCAAAACAGGTTCATGTAGAATCTTTGTTGTGTACAGAGCACAAGAGGGCTATCAGACACTCTCCTCCATATCCTCTCTCTTCAACACAAACATATCTAAGCTCCTCTCACTCAATGAAATGACAAAAGGTGATTCCTCCACCCTCCTGCCTGGTCGAGAGATCGTCATCCCCATTACTTGCAGATGCTCCAACCAATTCTCTCAGGACATACAATTGTACAATGCCACTCACTCAGATTCCATGTATACAATTGCTTGTGGAGTTTTTGAAGGTTTGGCCAAGGCCCAAAGTCTAATAGAGCATAACACATATTTACCATCAAACAGTCTCAGTAACCATGTTCTTAAAGTGCCCGTTAGATGTGCTTGTCCTAATACTTCAGATACTAACAACGGTATAAATTATCTTGTGACATATCCAGTGATAGAGGATGATCAGACAGATCTGATTGCTCGTAAATTTGGAGTTCCTGAAAGAATGATCTGGGATGCTAATAGATTAGATCAATTCACAACTATATTTCCTCAGACTACTCTACTCATTCCGACAATGGGTGTTCCTATCCTGAATACGAATGTGTCTGGAGATCCTGCTCCGGGTCCTCAACCTGTCATTCCTTTGAATCAAATTATACCAGGTAAAAAAACAAGCAATAAGAAGATCTATGTATTTCTTGTAGGGGGTATTGTCGCGATTATTGCTTTAATGGTTATAGCTTGGGGAGTTCCAATACAAGCCAGGAAAAGGAGTCATCCTGGCGGTTTTAAAACTTTGTTAATCAGAAATTCACCGGTGTCAAAATTCTCACCTGATTTTCTTGATGGGATGTCCAAGTTAAAACACTCACTGGTAAGCTTCAGCTTGGAGGAGCTGAGGATTGCCACTGAAGATTTCAGTGAAGCTTCTGTGATTGGTACAGCAGTGTATCGGGGTAGGATTGGCGGTTCTCACGTGGCAATTGAACGTATGAAGTCTGAGGAAGAAGCTCGCCATATGATGGATATACTGACGAAGATCAACCATCTGAATGTGGTGAAGCTTGAGGGTTGCAGTTATGGAAGCACGACATACCTCGTGTTTGAGTATGCTGAGAATGGTAGCTTAAGGGACTGCCTGTCAAACTCAAAATTGGCTAAGCAGTTCACCTGGAAAAAAAGGTTGCGAATTGGTTTTGATCTTGCAGTGGGACTTCATTACATACATTACTCCACAAAGCCCTCTTATGTTCATCGAAACATAAACAGCAAAAATGTGCTTGTAACCGTGAATTGGAGGGCCAAGATTTCGGGATTTAGATTGGTGAAACCTGTGATTTACAGTGAAGAAAAGGAAGAGAGTAATTGGAATGAATCTGAGATTGTGGGTAGAAAAGGGTACTTGGCACCTGGTTACCTTGATTGCGGGAAGGCTGCAACAAAGGTGGATGTATATGCGTTTGGGGTGGTTTTGCTCGAGTTATTATCTGCTAAAGAGGCCATTGCAGAAGGGGTTCTGTTGAAGAATTGCGTCGGGTTCTTGGCAGATGGGGGGCTTGAAGATTCTTCAGGCTGCTTGGACAAATTGAAGGGATTCATGGATCCTGTTTTGGAGGGAGATTATCCATTGGGTGATGCCATGTTTTTAGCACTGTTAGCCAAAGCTTGTGTGGAGGAGTACCCCCTTCACAGACCCACCATGAACGACCTTCTCAAGGCTCTTTCAAGATTTCTATGATATTCATATATACAAATATATCCATGGATTTCTTTTCCTTAGCCACACCTCGATGTCAAAATTATTCGTAATTTTGCCAATTTGTATATACTAACGTTATGGGATTTTACTTGGATATCTTATGGGACAATTTCATGTACCTAGTTCCGTCATTGCCCGTTCCATTGGATTCACACGGGTTCCTCCTAGAAATATGTCCGGGGCTCATCAGTCTATGATGACTTTGCTTCCTTGGTCTTATGCCTCTATTTGAATAATGGAAATAAGAAGCTTGTCAAAATTGAAAAATTCACTTGTCACTTGATTTTCTTGTGGCTATTCAGATAAACGCCACCACTGGAATAGAAATAAGGGGAAAACAACTAAGGCAAAAAACAGAATTCCAAATGTCATTGAAGCTTGTTCCTTGCACAGACATCAGAAAAGTCAGCTCACTCTTTGGACAATCCAAGCTGGTATATCGACGGCGGGACCGCTAAAGAAGGGAATAAGCATTAAAAATTACAAATGATATTTTTATCAGAATCAAATATTTACAACAGCCAATCCCACCTCCCCACTTCCAGGGGAAAAAAAATTATCTGGACCGTGCCAGGGCAACAATAACACTCACTTCAAGGCACAACCCAGGTGATGAGTGTGAAATCAATGCCTTTTCAGGCCCAGTACAGCACTGACTTAGCTCCCCTGGCAAATATTAGGTGTTTAGTTAATCTCATGATCGTCTCAGATGATCCCCGATGAAGAAAGGATGTCTGAGGGCCTCACGTGCCATCAACCTTTCTGAGGGCTCATACCTAAGGAGCCCTTGCAAGAGATTTATGAGATCCCCTGCTGAATGGTCAACATGCTGCATGATTAGATTCTGCAATAAGAGACACCACATTAGCCATAAATATTTCCATGCCAAACATAACCAGTATTATACCGAACAGCAAAGTTCAAATTTGAGCGACGTGCAAACCTGAAGGCGGGGAAGCTTCAGAACAGCTTTTATACTTTCTCTCGAGGTCGCACCTTCAGGCCAGTCCAATTTACCCTTTCTCATATATTTCTCTGCATGCCGGCTGAAAGAAGATAACAAGAAATACAGATCAGCACAAGTACCCCGAGTTCCACACCAGTATTAATGAAAAGGGAGAAAAGCTAATTAATAAATGATACATAACAATACTTACTCTACTCTTTTCAACATGTGCGGGGGCAGTGGACCAAGGACCCTCTCCATCATGGCAAGGTGCTCCAAGTTCTCATGTGTTTGGAACAATGCTTCTCCCTGCCCAAAATTTGTAACTTGGCATTAAAAATGCTGAAATATGGATTCAAATTAAAGAAAGAGCAAATATACTTCACTTACCGTGCATAGCTCCACCAAAATACAGCCAACGCTCCATATATCACAAGGGTAACTCCAACCAAGTCCTGCAGAAAATCAGATAATACTATAAAATTATATTCTTCCTCCATCCAGCATTAGAAAACATTATCATAATATACAAATGCAGTACAAACCTAGAATAACCTCCGGTGCACGGTAATGTCGTGTTGATACAATGTAAGTCAGATCCTGACGATCATGTGTTGTGCTGCCAAAATCAATCACTTTTATAGCACTTGATTTAGGAACTCTTTTGAAGTAAGAACTATCTTTTGGAGTGCGTGATGAACCCTGAAGACAAACATTAAAATGTCAAAGGTCAGTTATCTCAATAATAAATGGATGCATCGAAAAATAGTTAAGAAGGGCAAGCAACATGCAAAAGCAAATACAGCAAAACACATCAACCATCTCAAAAAAGGCACAGCATACAAGTAAATCTCAGATGGGTTGAAAAAAAGAAACCATTATAGTCGATCATATGCATGCATTAACAATACAAAAAAACCTATGGGAAAGCAAAAATCATTTATAAGCATTCATTTTATCTTTACCTTGTATTCTGGAACCTTAACATACTCAGGAGAAACAAGGAGTATGTTCTCAGGCTTCAAATCAGTGTGTATGAGTCTCAAATCATGCATGACTGCAAATTTTTTAGGAAACAAAAACATTACCTCTCAAACATCAAAAAAAAAAAAAATTAAAATGTTAGAAGTAGACTATGCATGAGGTAATTTTCATAATTCCAGGCAAGTGACATCCTCGCCAAAAGTTTCAAATACAAAAGGAGCAGGATTTATAGAAAAGATGTCCTACAAAATTATTTAAGATTTGTTGTTATCTTACACCCAAATGAGGTTATCTTAAATGAACATATAAGCAAAATATATGATAAATTAAAAGAAATGAATACAAGTAATTACTACACACATGATACACATTCCAACAGTTGTCTGCCAATCTCACGGACAAGATCAATGGGAAAAGAGCGGTAATTGTTTTTCCGTAGAAAATCATACAAGCTAGGTCCAAGCTTCTCAAACACCTGTTAAAAACCATTTGAATTTATCCACAAGTCTCAACCACTAGAACTTATGTGAAATTGGGGAAATCAGTCCACCAAATCAGTCATGTACTTACAATACAGATATGGTTACGATAGTCAAACCAGTTCCGTATTTGCACACAACTGCAAGGAATAAAACAATTTAACCACCGACACATTCAAAGACCTCCAACCATACTGTCAATAATGGCAGCAAAAGTGCATTGGAACCTTACTCACCGATTGCCACCTTTATCATGGTTACCAAGCTGTTGCAGCACTCCAACTTCAATCATAGCTGCCTCACGATATTTCTTAATGCCACGAACAATTTTAATGGCAACCATTTCTTTCATATCCTTGTCCCAGCATTCCAGGACCTGACCAAATGTGCCTAGACAAAAAATCATTGAACACAGCAAAGGAAATATGAGATCAGCTGCCATTAAACAACTCCAATTTACCAAGACAGATTATTAATTTGTAGTCACACACCTTCACCCATTTTTCCGTGTATTTTATCTGCCACAAAAGAAACAAAACAATTAGAAACTCATAACATTTTAAGAATATGACAGTATATACAAGACACGCCTCTTCTTAAATTTGGAGAAACACAAGAGGATCACCTAGAAAGTCAACAACACTATATGTTACTGCAACCTGGAAAAAGAATCCTAGCTGAGCCAACTCATGGCTTCTAACTAAGAAAAAGTATATTAAGAAAAACATTACAGTCGACAACACCACATTCATAAAAAAGGTATGATGAATACATTGTGGTGTGTCTCTATAACTATCCATTAAAATTGTTGTAATAATGTTTACATGGTGCTATAGTCATCAAAACAAGCGTAAATGTAAAGTTCTTATTTGATGATGGTAAAGGGTAGTTACAGCGAGAAGTTAAATTTTCTCCAAGCGCAAACATATAATGTCCATCTTTGTCATCTTCTCGCCATGGGGGAGAACCATTTCGTGCCACTCCCTTAACAAACAGAGAACTAGTATGGTCGGAAGGTGCACTTGAAGATGCAAAGCTTGTCACATTCCCAACCTCTTGTCCACAAAACAAACCAAGCTGAGCCTACACACAGGCATTCATTCATATTTCTCTCAAAACCAAATTATTTTCTACATTTTATGCCCTTCGAAACATACCAGCGAGCATAAGCAACATATTAAGGACTGAAAACAATATAACACCAAAGATAAAGTTTGCCACATGAAACACGATATATATTTCACCTCAAACAGCGACCAAATCACAGATTTTATTTACAATAAAATGATAATTAAACAAAGATAAATGAAGGCAATCACAAAAATCAAAGATTAATCCACTTCCGTTCTAACATAACATGGATCCAGAACCCCAACTTAATTTATTCTAACTCAAAATGCTTTCTATCTAATGACTAATACAGATATCACGTTCTATAATTCTACTGGCTGAGGCACTTATAACTAAGATATGCATTGAAAAAGTATAACTAAATCTTTGAAACAATTAAATTCACCAAAACTATATTGCTAGTTTAAAGGAAAATAATCCCTCCACTTCAAGGAAATACACAGAAAATGGTTGCTATCAAATCAAAATATGCTATACCATATCCAAAAGGCACAACTTTTCTTCATGGCTGACCCGCAATCATTGATTTTTTCAACTAAATATTCAGCAAATATTACATTAGGCAGAAACACACAAAAAAAAAAACTATGTTCTGAAAGAACCACCGAATCCTATCTTTCATATAAAAGAAACATATCCGTAGGCAAATATTATTTTCAATATAACTTTCGGAAGATCTTCCATATAAAGAAACAGATCTATCGGAAAATAATTTTCCCGAGAATTAAACCAAAATATTATTCAAACTAAAATACAAAATCCCTCCATTCACCCAGATTTACCCCCAAAAACCATATGTAACAATAATTTAACATAAAAATTAAAGTCCGCAAAAAAAAACATAAGAAACCATCAAATCTTATCAAAATAAAAAACAAACCGTTCGAATCGACCCTCACAGATCAATCAAACAAGCTATTTTTCCATACCTGATCAATAGGTATCTAAATTTTCGCCAGATCTAGCAAAACAAAAACAAAAACCACAAGAAAACAAACTAATCAGACAATTCAATAACAGATCGGATACCTTAGGGCCTTGAGGAACGACGTCCCAGCCTAACCGCGGCCTCTTTCTCGGTCGCCGGTCCATATGCGTGTGTGGAAACTCAGTCACGCGCTCCATCTCCATGGCGGATCGGTTTAGAGAGGGAAGGTTGCAAGGGGAGATCGAAATCGAGGACGGAGAAGATAAAAGATGAAGGAAGATCGAAGATGAATGAGATGCGTGTGAACCTGTAACCCTAATCCGAACCTAATATTGACCTAACAATGGCGTAGAGTCGGTTGAGGTTAAATCTGACCGTCCACGTGTCTTGTTTCCATCCCTTTCTTTTTGCCTGATCCTTACTTTTAATATGTTATCGCTCCTTGACTTTAACCATGGTTATTTTTGTGGTTCAATTATAACTGTGGTTAAGTTAGCTCTCATAAACTCTAAAAAATAAAAAAATATTCATATATGACGTGACAAGTTGATGTGATGTCCCAGACTAATAATATTAAAATAAATAAATAGATCTCAAAAAAAATTAATAACTAATCTGTCATGTAAGTAGATAATTCTTTACTCTTTTTTATTATTGATTAGTGATATTGTGTCACCGTATCATCATTGTATTCAATATTTACTCAAAAAAATTTATTTGTACGCGAACTTTCACAAGCACAGAAAGTGTATTTCTCTAAGCCTCAGCAACGAACCAGGTTCATTGTGGGCCCACTGCCAATCTAGAAGAGTAATTTAAAAATTGGTATAATTTTTTAGACTTATTTGGATAAAAGTACAAGTTAAAAACTTATTTGAGATAAAATGCATATTTTTTTAAAATGTCACTATTGTCATCAGCAAACAGCATATGAACGGAAATCTTTTTGTATTCTTTCTCTTTTTTTGTGATTACAATCAAGTAATGGGAGGTAAAATAGGAGTATATTTTTTCTAACAATTTCTCTTTCTCCCCCTATTTTCTCTTACTCTATTTATATTAATATTACAACAATACAATTACACTAATCAGTTATATCAATCAGTTACAATTGTCATATAATACACAAAACAGTTATTCATGCATTTTAATAAACCAAACAATTACACAAAATTATAACATCAACTCAATTTGTCATTTAATTGTTTACATAAACTAAATAGTTACACAATTTAGTATTGTCGCACCGTTACACCATCATGTCTTAACAATTACATGAGATTGTAATTGTCACACCCATTAAGACAATTGCATGAGATTGTGATTGTTACACCCATTAAAAAAATAGTTACATCCATTAAAAAATAGTTACACCCATTAAAAATAGTTATACTCATTAAAAAACAGTTACATCCATTAAAAAAATAGTTACACATATTAAAAGACAGTTACGCTCATTAAAAAAAACAAAAAGAAGTTCTTTTTTTTCTACATCTCAACAACGAACAATACATAATATTTAACAAAACATCTTAACCGATTCTCTTTTTTTTTTTTGAGAAAAATTCAGGGTTTGATCAATCATCATAGTAAAAGATTTTATTCATTTTGGTCAGATGACTTGGAAGCAAGGTTGATGGCCTGGGACGACATATATCTATATCTATATTACTTATAAATGTCAGCATGTGTGAAAAATTTTTAATTTTCTATTTCACCCTTAATTATTATCATAAAACCAATTATACCCACATATTTTCCTTTCTTTCATACATACTTGACTTCCAAAATATTAGCTAGATAAACTTTATCTCTATAGCTTGGTAGATAAACTTTATCAAAATATTACCTAGATAAATTTTATCAAAATATTTGGTAGATAAATTTTATCTCTATGACAATATATTCTTTCTATGTCATTCAATTATACAAACTCTACTAAAATTCTAATATCACGTATTGATAATTTTTAGGTGATACATATACATATATTTTTTTGTCTTTTCTACTTATTAGATTTCTAAAATATTTTGAATTCCTTCATATATATATATATAAATTTTATCTCTATGACAATACACTCTTTCTTTTCCATTCAATTGTACAAACTTTACTAGAATTCTAACATTACATATTGGTAATTTTTAGGCGATATAAATACAAATATTTTTTCTTTCATTCACGTTAAAGTTAAAAGTTAGCTTGCCATAGTCATTTATTTAAAGTTCTATGGTCTTATGCTCTTCCGTGACAAACTCAATGAAGTCGAAGTTAGAGTTTTCGGCATAATTGAGGTTAGTTTATCAATTCCTCAATTTTAGTTTATTAATTTATAATTTATGTGGCACTTAATTTTTTTTAATTTAATGTCAAACAGCTTTCTAAGAGATTAGTGTTGCAAGTCAAGTATTCGACATAATAATTGAGGTTAGTTTATTAATTCTTATGTTTTAGTTCATTAAATTAGCGTGACATGTCGAGTATTCGGTATAATTGAGGTTAATTTATTAATTCATATGTTTTACTTTATTAATTTCTATGTTTACGTTAAAATTTTCTATGTAAGTGTTGCTTTGTTTTATTACAACCTCTCGTGAATCCAATTTTTCATTGTTCATATGACTAATATTTTGAAAGTTTGTTCAAATCTTAATACTCTGTAATCAAATTTATTAAACTTAATTTTTCATTACTCATATTCTATTATAGCATTATAAATAAAAATTATATGTTCCAAAAATTCATTATTCTAACTATAAGAAAAAATATTTTAAAAAATAGTTAAAGTTAGGTACCACACCCAAAAAAAAAATCGTTAATATACTATGTACCATTTTTTTTGAGAATTTTTATATGTATCATGGTTTTCAGTATTTTTATCATTTATTGGCTGAAATTTATCAAATTTTGATGTTAAAAGATTAAGTGCATTTTTTCTTGGTATTTTAATTATTCATTTACCTTTACAAAAAATAATTCAATTTTATTACTCATCATATGTGTGTGTGTATATAAAGTATAAAGTGAAACAAACTATATATAAATATATGTGTGTGTGTGTGTATAAACAAACTGATACAAATTGATATATATATATATTTCACTTATACTTTACACCCATACTCCTTCATCTTCATCTTCTAGCACGAAATACCTTTGCATTTGCTTTCTCTCGCTCTCTGTAAACTCTTATTTTACCTCTCATTATTATTGTTAATCTTTACATATTTGTTTTCTCAAATAATTGTCAATGATGACTGCATCAATTAAAAAAGGATGTTTAGGTAAAAAAAAATTTAATTCATTTTGAATTTTGTACTTAAACACAAAAAATTTTGTAAAAATTATACTTAATTGAGTAAATAACTTATCCATATACTTTTGATAAAAAAAACCTAAAAAATTATACTCACACTCAAAAAACCTAATCTAGAACAAAGCCTGTTGGGCTTGATGATTAACAAGGTATACAATTCTATTTCCAAAAATTTATTTACCCTTATTTAATACTAGCAATTAACCATGCTTGAAGGCACGATGTAACAAACAAAAAAATTGAAAGTAAATACATGTTAAGAGATTGTATGCAATAAAAAATTGCCAATTAAAAAAACTAAGAAAAAACATTGATAAATATAATATGGGCCCATTATTTTTTTAAAAAAATTGATAGAATACAAATCAAAACAATGTCAAACATTGTTCAATAACTGTTTAATTATTGATTGATATCCAAATGGTAGTAAATTCAAAAATCATTGTGGTATGAAAACAATCAAAAGAATGATATGTTAATATTATCGAAAAAGATATTTCAACTTTTTTATTTTTGTTTTTTACCACAGAGAAGGGGGGAGAATATTTAATTTCAACTTTTGTTTTTGTTTTTTATTTTTTTTACCAAATGGAGAGAGAGAGAGAGAGAGAGTGGGTGGGAGTAAATATGATTTGATTTTTGAGTATTTTTTTAATTTTTTTACTTTCTAAATTTTTAATGTTATGAATTGGATTATAGACACAAATTATTGCAATAAAAATTTTGATTGGATTTAATTTTGGGGAAAATTGTGAAAAAGTACGCCATTTAGGACTTATTTGTGGAAAAGTACCTCAATATAAAACATATGTGTATAAATACCTTTGTGTGTAAATGTTTTGTGAGTAGGTACACTTTTGCTGATTTTTAATTTTTTTTTTTACAAAATTACTCTTTTCCTTTATTAATGGGTCACAAATATGACAGTTATATGAGAGGTTCAGTTTCTTTTTTTTAAGCTATATCATTTTTTGAATTTTGAATTACCTCCTTCATTTGACAGACGGTTTCCTTCTCCATTTCCGTAACCCATGTTTGTAAACAGTCGGTAAACATTTTAGGGAAACATCCATTCATTAGGCGGCTTGATTTAAGTCCTTATTTCATAACAAGTTAGCTTTTTTTCATACCGCTACCGGGTTTTCACACATCAGCCAATTTCTTGCAGTAGAAGATGTGTTTCAGGTTTGTTTTCCACACTGTTGTAATATTTTTTTTAAAAAAATAATATGTAATGACGAATATATATTCCAAATTATTGTTTTCATTGAATTTTGATGGAGGATATGATCATTTTGTTATGCCATTATGAGAATGAGTCGTTAATTATCTGTGTTTTAAAGTATTCACCGTTTGAGGATGTGTTAAATCAAGTGTTTGATACATGGGAGTTGTTGTGGGATTTGCCAATACAGTTATAATATTCACTCCCCGAAATATCAAATTATTTTTTGAAGAATGATGAAGACTTCAAAAATATGTTTGAAATGTCACGTTCTATTAACGTCAATCATGTTCCTGTGAGGATAATCGTAAATGATGATAACTCAAATGGGTGTGTTGTTAATTCAAGTAAAGATTTGCATAATTCGAATGATGATTTTGATTCGAATGATGATTTGCTGCCTCGTTATAGCCAACATAACAAGAAAGTGTTGTTAACATCTGGGTGGATTAATGAAATAAGACATGTAGGACAAAAATTTGAAGGTGGTGTGCTATAGTTTCATAAATCTCTTTGCAAATACTCGATTAAGTGCAGTTTCAAATTCAACTACATTAAGAATTGTAAATATCAGATTGTGGCTGAGTGTTCGGGAAAATATTTCACGGGTTGTAAGTGGAAGGTGAATGCAAGTATTCAAAAAGTAAATGGGTTTTTCTACA